CCGATTCCGATCCCTGGCCGATCGATCGGTGCATCTCTAATTTTTGTCATTTATAACATTGTCTGTGTGTTGTGTGTGTATTTCAGGCTCATTGAGCAACGCATCCAGTGATGCCAACTTCACTTGTGACAGCAGCAGCACCAGTGGCTCATGTGCAGCGGTTGAGGCAGACGGTGACAGCCCGCACAAGACGGTGGAGATGGTCTTCATTGCACTGGTTACAGGATCCCTCAGTTTTGTCACCGTTGTGGGCAACATCCTCGTCATGCTCTCAATCAAGGTCAATCGACACCTACAGACCGTCAACAACTACTTCCTCTTCAGCCTGGCCTGTGCAGATCTCATCATCGGTGTGTTCTCCATGAACCTTTACACCGTTTACATCATCAAGGGCTACTGGCCACTCGGCCCTGTTGTGTGTGACCTGTGGCTCGCACTGGATTATGTGGTCAGCAACGCTTCTGTCATGAACCTGTTAATCATCAGCTTTGACCGATACTTCTGTGTGACCAAACCCCTGAGTTATCCCACACGCAGAACCACCAAGATGGCTGGCCTCATGATTGCCTCCGCCTGGATCCTGTCATTCATCCTGTGGGCTCCCGCTATCCTGTTCTGGCAGTTCATTGTCGGAGCACGAACCGTAGCGCCTGGTGAATGTTACATCCAGTTCCTTTCCAACCCCGCGGTCACGTTTGGCACGGCCATTGCTGCCTTCTACCTGCCAGTGGTCATCATGACGGTGCTTTATGTGCACATCTCTCTGGCCAGCCGCAGCCGTGTGTCCAAGCAGAACCCTGAGGAAAAGAAGGAGAAGAAAGGTCAGAAATCTAGTGGTCTGCTCAAGAGTCACATCTTGAAGCAGAACAACAACAACCAGTCTCCTCCTAAACCTAGCCTAGATACCTGTTCTACGGTGGACACCATGAAGAACGGCAAACTAGACGAGTCTGTGGTGTCCGCTAAAGCGGACTCCTGCGTGCAGCCGGAGGAGAAGGAGAGCTCGAACGACTCCAGCACAGCCAGCATAGCACCTAAAGAGCTTAAAGAACGAGCGAACAGTGAGGCGACTTCAAAGGCCGGCTTGACACCCGCGCCCACAGCCGTACCTAAATTTAACCCTCAATCCAAATGGTCCAAGATCAAGATAGTCACCAAACAAGCGGGAGATGAATGCATCACAGCCATCGAGATCGTCCCACCAAACAGTACCGGCGAGAAGCGCTCCATCCCTGTGAACCGTCCCCGCACAGTGGCGCGCAAGTTTGCCAGCATCGCCCGCAGCCAGGTGAAGAGGAAAAG